AAGTGCTTCTGCCTCTGCTCTGTAATTGGAGGAATATGAACCTGTTGGTACAGCCTGGTTGATTTTTTCAACCATTTGGGCATTCTATGTATATTCCTCCTCCTCCGTCTCTTACTGCTCTCTTGGCTGAACCATCTGTATACACTCGAATCCAACTCTGGTGTGGGTAAAGTCTATTGATCTCTCCTTCTGTAGTTGATTTCATATCAGTGCTGCTGCTCTTGATGATTTGGAGGAGACCCCTGTTACAGTGGTTCTGACTGTTGGTAGGCTATCCCTAAGCCAAGCGGGGCAGTCGTTGTAAGGTTTAAGTGGAACATTTGGTATTATGGGAGGGAGTTTAAGGACAGCGAGCTTGGCATTTGCGTTCTTAATAAAGCAAGTTCTCTTTAGTCTAGCCTTTCTGGGGTTTCTGTAGTCGGCTGTACATGGGTTTGTTCTTGAAAGTGGTGGTATTTGGAGAGCTGGGTGAGGATCTTTGTGTCTCTCCTATCTTCCAGATTATGGGAGACCAGTAATTGTTTCCATATCTGATATGGGCGTGGAGCGCATTGCCCCTGTCATAATACGGAGAGCATGGTTTTGGATCTTTGAGACTTTCTGAAAATTTGATTTAGCTGCTGTGCCCCAAGCAGCTATTCCATATTCTAGTGTTGGCCTCACATAGCCTGTATATGATTCCTCTTAAGGACATTGAGGTTTGCCCCCCAGTCTGTTCCAGCTAACTTCCTCATCAGTTGTGTTCTCTGAGTCCCTTGCTCTGTGTCTTTTCTATCTGTTTTCTCCATGTGAGTCTTGAGTCAAAGGTTACTCCTAAATATGACGGTGAGTCATCATGTATCAGTGCCTGGCTGCCATATCTAAGTGAAACTTTCTGGGGTTTGGTAGAGAGACTGAAAATGGTGTGTGTGGTTTTTGGCCCCCCCCATTTACAGGCATGTACAGCTATTGGACCACCTCTCTGGAGTTCCGAGGGATTCTTGAAGCCTTGTCTGTGCTTTTTTCAGTGTCCTCCTCTGAACTCAGTAGCGCCAGATCATCGGCATACATAACGGCTTGAACTCCATTACAGAGGGTTGATTTTATGTCGTTAATGTAAACTAGGAAAAGAATGGGGACAGAACTCCGCCTTGTGGAACTCCATGTGTCATTGAGACTGATCTGCTCCTTGAACCCTGTATCTTGACTCTTGCAGATCGATTTTCAAGATATTTTACGATCCACCCAAGCATGTGATGGGATATTCCACTTTCAAGTAGCTTTTGTTTCAGCCCATTTTTCCACACTTTGTCGAAGGCCTTTTTCCATATCCACCCAATCTGCAATAGTGTGCTTTTTTTCCTGAAATGCATCTTCAATGTGTTGAGCAATAAATGTAATTTGGTCTTCTGTTGATCTACAACGTCGAAAACCTGCCTGTTCCTCCATTAGTTTGACGTTTTTCTCTAGGAACCAGGTCAGTCGGTTGTTCAATAATCTTTCAAATAGTTTGCACAGACAGCTAGTGAGGCTGATGGGTCTGTAGCTGTCTGCGTTGTTCTTCGGCTTTCCTTGTTTCAGGATTACGAAGATTTCAGACTTCCTCCAGGCTGGAGGAACTATACTAAAAATCCAGCTGGCATTAAAGATGTTTAATAATTTCTTTTTGGCACTTAGACCCATGTGTAGTAACATATCATTCGTGATTTTATCGGGGCCAGGGGCTTGGTTGGATTTCAGCTGGTTAAGTCCAGTGTTAAGTTCACTCATTGAGAATTTATCTGTCACGATGCTCTCTGTTGGTTTACTCTTGCTGGCCTCCTCGAGTTCTTTTATTCTTTGTACTACCTCATCTTCTCTGGACTTTTCTATATTAATATCACTAACAGATTTAAACTGATTTAAAAGGATATTGCAGCATCGTTTCCAGATCTGATCTCATTGCCCTCATTTATTACTATTGGATTGGCTTGTTGGGCTTCTCCATTTAGACACAACTTGACTAGTTTCCAGAGTTTGGACCCCATCTTTTTCAAAACTTAGGCTCTTGGTTTTGTCTTTGCCAGCTCTTCCTAGTTGCTTGAAGTGTTTCTTTTTTAGCTTAGCTTCTGCTGCTTTGTAAGCAATGTTGTTTTCTACCGTTGGGTTGCTTTCTACTCTATCTCTTGCTTCTGAGAGAGTTTGGTGGAGGTCTTGAATTTGTTGGGACCAAAATGGGATGTAATCTTTACTTGAACCCCGAGGTATGGTTTCTTTGGGCTGCTTTTAATATAGCTTCTGTAAACTCTTTTACTGATTTAGCAACCTGACTTGATTGCCGTTTACATTTATCGAGTATACATCAGCAAGGTTAGCAAAAACTGTTCCAGTCAGCTTTCTTGTAATTCCAACGAGGGGGCGGCATCGAATGAAGGCCTCTCATATTTAGAACAGAAATCAGGATCGGTCGGTGGTCACTACCTGCTAGTTGGCTGAGCACCATTTTATGTATGTTGCTTGCTAAGTCTAATGTGGCAAATGTTAAGTCTGGGCGGCTGGTTGAAAGCCATCTCCTGGAGAAAAAAGATGGGGAGTCATCTGGTTTGTTGATTAGCTGGAGTCTGGCATATGTCTGCCAGTCCTCCACTTCTTCTCCTCTGTCGTTGAGCTGTAGTGACCGCCTCCACCTCCATTCTTAAGCTGGATGTTGTGGTATCATATGCTAGGCTCTCCTGCACCAAACGTCGACCATTTACTTTTGCTAAGAAGCCCCAAGCACTTCTTTTGACTCTTGGCACTGAACCGTCTGTGTAAATGATCAAATTCTCTGAGCGAGCATTATCTTGAGGAGGGAAAGGTGGGGATCATCAAGTCTTCAGCACTGTTTTCTGTACTCACTACGACTGTACGGAACAAGAACACAGCTGGACCATCATGCACTATTCTTGTTGTTAGGGTAAATAAATATGTCCTCCTGAGTGTCGCCTTTATTATCTTCTATACATGTAGCGGATTAAAGATAAACCCATCTCTGTTAGTAACGCACCGAATTTTATTTTATTTTTGACAGTTTAAAGCTTCTGTTTAAATTTCTTCGCCTGAATTTTGGCTCCAGGTGGAGCATAGACCTTCAGGCAAATCACATCATGCTCTTTCTAACTTTGTAGCTGAAGTTGTAAACTTTACACTTTATACAGTAAAGACTAAAGTAAAGTAATAAACAGGTTTCCCTCCAGAGTCAGCAGACTTGTACTTTTGTGTTCTATCTATTGATTCACCTTTCTGGTGGCATGTCTGACGATATGTTGAAGTATTAAAATTCTCTGCGCCCTTTATAGTCCCTCGAACATAAGGGTGGGTTTACAGCGTTAAAATAGTTAAATTCAAAATACGTATACGTTTAATTTAGTTAAAATATGTTCATGAAAAAACTGGACTTTTTTCTTTTTCAAAACTTGGGCTTTGCATGCACATCTGTTTTACGAGCTGGCTTTTTATACAGACTGTTGGTTCCTTGCCTCTCTCAGGCAGACGTACTCTGCATTCAAAAATAAGAACTCGGCTCTCCTCCAAATGATGGTTCTGAATGATCACGTTTAAAAATATACCCTAACAGGGCCTCATTGGTGTGTAAAATTATGACGTATTTATGGCAAATATGGCAGGCAGCCAGTCAGCTCCAACAAAGATTAGCAGTAATGTTCTACTGATTGATAAATTGACAGCTGTGAATGTTAGACTTGACGACTTATGTGTGTGTGTATGTATGTATTTATACATACATATACATACATATACTACATACATATACATACATACATATACATACATACATATACATACATACATATACATACATACATATATATATATACATATACATACATATACATATACATACATACATACATACATACATACATACATACATACATACATACATACATACATACATACATACATACATACATACATACATACATACATACATACATACATACATACATACACTCACACACACACACACACATGCGCGCGCGCACACACACACACACACAGACAGACAGACAGACACACAGACACACAGACAGACACACAGACACACAGACAGACAGACACACAGACAGACAGACACACAGACAGACAGACACACAGACAGACAGACACACACAGACAGACAGACACACAGACAGACACACAGACAGACACACAGACACACAGACACACCGACAGACACACAGACAGACACACAGACAGACAGACAGACAGACAGACAGACACACAGACAGACACACACACAGACAGACAGACACACAGACACACATGTCTGATGTATCACATGCCTTATATATCACATGTCTGATATATCACATGTCTGATGTATCACATGCCTTATATATCACATGCCTGATGCATCACATGTCTGATGTATCACATGCCTTATATATCACATGCCTGATGTATCACATGCCTGATGTATCACATGCCTGATGCATCACATGTCTGATGTATCACATGCCTGATGTATCACATGCCTGATGCATCACATGTCTGATATATCACATGTCTGTGTATCTTTACATGCCTGATGCATCACATGTCTGATATATCACATGCCTGATGTATCACATGCCTTGTATATCACATGTCTGATATATCACATGCCTGATGTATCACATGCCTGATGTATCACATGTCTGATGTGTCACATGCCTGATGTATCCCATGTCTGATGTATCACATGTCTGTGAATAACATGCCTGATGTATCACATGCCTGATGTATCACATGTCTGTGTATCACATGCCTGGTGTATCACATGCTGATGTATCACATGTCTGTGTATCACATGCCTTATGTATCACATGTCTGATGTATCACATGTCTGTGTATCACATGCCTCATGTATCACATGCCTGATGCGTCAATGAGTCCTGTAGTGCTTGTTACCATGCGGCAATTACTTGCTTATGCTCATAAAATAGGCCTGGATTACATTATTCATATTTTATTACAGTTGAGGTCTGAGAAAGAAACCGAAAATGAGCATCGAATCAGGAAAACATGCACAAAAGTTTGAAAGTGCAATATTGTTCATTCAGAAAGAACATGCCAATACACTGAAAGATTTGCATGAAGAAATTTGTCGTCTGCAAAAACAGTGCTCGGGTTGGTTTGTAGTTAATGAAATACATTTTTTTTTCAACTTTCCCCCATTCTCTCCTGTTTCTTTTTATTTTTCCCATCCTCTCCTTCTTCTTCTTCTAGTTCTCTTCTTCCTCCTCTACCTCCTCATCCTTCCTCTTCCTTTTTTTTTTCTGCATTTGATCTCCCACTGAATGAATCAAGAACTGACATCACGGCACCCAGGACCTTCCCATACAGACTGTGTTCTGTCTCACAGTCAACGATTAAGGTTTGAACAACGGATCAACATCATGGCACTCACGTAGTTACCCATAAGTGCTCCGTTCTTCTTCTAACTCAAGTCTGAGTCCAGAGAAGCCCAGCACAGTGCACAGGCTCTGTAGCACTGGTGAGGATCCTGAAATACGTTTTTAGTAGATTTTTAATTCCAAATTTTGCGCAGGCAGTGCCGTTAGGCTACTCTCTTTGATTTCCAACTGCCAAGGGATTTCTTTTACCAACGCAACAGTGCACATGGGCGTCCGATCTCACTACCCAGAGACCGGGGGAATTACTAGAAGTCCAAGTCCACGTGAAAAAGTCCCAGCCCTTACCAGGAATTGAACCCTGAACCTCTAGCACTCGAGGCGGACACCATGCCGCAAGACCGCGCTGCCTCTTCACAGTCAAAGAAGTGTCCAAACCCTGATTTTGCTACTTGCCACCTGATTTTTAAAAAATCCTTTTGTCTTGTTATCTGCAGATTGAATGTCATCTATGCCTTCTGTTCGTTCCCTGTTAAATCAGCCTTTACAGACTAGATAGATGATTTTGAAATATTAACCTTTTATTTAATGTGCATTTCTGATCTACCATTTTGAAATAATAACCTGTTATATAACATAAATAAGACGTGACATTTTAAAATAGTAAACTTTTAAATATTACACATTTCGGGAGCCACTAAGGTGTAGCAGCTAAACGCTCGCCTGCAGACTTGAAGGTCATAAGTTCAGGTCCTGGCGGAACCGGACTTTTTTTTTAAAATTACCTAGCTTCCAGGTCGACCCAGCCTTGACTGGGTAGTAGGTACAGTCCTGGGAAGTAAAGGCAGCTGGCCTAATGCTGACCGTATCACTCACTAAGTGCCGATTGGTCTATACAATACAGGTCTACTGCTAAATACCCAGTTCACCTGAATTTGGGGATAAGGGACCTTTATTTTTACTTTACTTGACATTTTGAAATATTCATATTTTATTGAACGTAATCCAGACTTGACTTTTTTAAAAACAGTAAAACTTCATTAACACGAATTCTAATCAAGAGTTTTTGTACTGACCACAATTAAATTCAATGTAATAATGTATGTGCATCCTTGCAGAATTAACATTGTGTTTGTGTTTACTAAATGTTCGTTTAAGTGAGTTTTTGTTAATGAGATTTAACCATTTTAAACTTTTATTTAACTTACATTTCAGACTAGGTATTTTGAAACACTAATCTTTTATACAAAATACATTTCAGACTTGACATTTTGAAATAATCTTTTATTAAACATATATTTCAGACTTGACATTTTGAAATAGTAATCTTTTTCTCAGCATACGTTCCAGAGTTGACATTTTAAAATAGTAATCTTTCATTTAGCATACAATTCAGACTTGACATTTTTAAATATTAAAATTTTGTTCAACATACATTTCAGACTTGTCATTTTGAAATAGTAATCTTTTATTCAACATACATTTCAGAATTGACATTTCAGCTAACTATGAGAGATGTTCTTACTGAAAAGCCAGGTGATTATAATTTCATGTGCTGCTTCATTATTTCTTATAGTTTTTCGGTTCTTAATTAATATCTGACCCCAGATGACATCACAGGACAGACCAACATTTGAGAGGGTGGTAAGACTGGTTTTCTCAGCTGTCTGGCACTTTTACTGACCCCAAAACATCTAGAACTGGCCCGATCCTCAACCCGCCTATGTTCCACGAGAGAGTGCAGCCTAGGTCCCACGAGTGCACTCAGCCTAGGTCCCATGACTAAATGCAGCCTATCTACCACCCCCTGAAATATTAGACTGTGTCCCGTGACCTGTGGATTTCCCCTGGTTGGGGGTAGGATATTAATAAAGCACTGACCTTTCTTTTCTCATTTAGATATCTTTGGGTAGAGAGATGCCTTTCTTTTTTTTTGGCCTAACAATGGAGGATGTCTGAGAGATTACTACAAAAAGACCTTGAAAAATCCAGTACAGTAATCGACATACTGGAGAGAGAGTTAGACCATCGAGATAAACACATCAAACAGTTGGAGGGAAAAGTTCAGTCTTATAAAAAACTCAGTCTGGATGAGAACCGAAAACATGTGCAGACAGTGAACATGCTGTGTGCTGAACTGAAGTCAAAAACTAGTCAAATTACTTACCTTACTTCAGAAGTGCATCGATTTCAGTGTTTAAACAAGAAGTCAGTTAACGAAGAAACAGATTTTAAACAAGAGAGAATTCCTGTTGACTCAGGCATCTCAGCTGAAGCTAAATACCTCTATTCAGACTCTACATACTTAGCAAACAGATTTCAGTCTACTCTTCATTTTATCCCGAAACCACCAAGTGATGACATTCTTTACCCTATCTCAGATACATCAAAGTCCACAAGATCTGGGCACCGAAGATCGATCATACATTTAGAACATTCTAGAAAACAACCTGGAACACACAATACTTCCAGTTCTAGCTTGCTTTTAGAGAAACAGCTAAGGCCACATCATCTTTGTTCAGATTCCATCGGTGATTCAAAAGCACAAGATGCTACACCATTTCTACAACATTCCGAGAATGTGATTCAGATGGTTGATGTCAAACAGGTGCCAGTTCTGCCACCCATCTCTGCCAGTTCCTCAAACTATGCTGCTGCAAAATGCATAACACCTCCATCTTAATTAATGTAGTTGCATTATCCATCGTCAATTGTCATTTATTATTTTGTGTTCCTTTTGAATGAGTGAAGTATCCCTGTATGGGTTCCAGGGCCCTATTATAGGGAAAACAAGAATTGACCCACTGCCAACCCAAATGCATGTCGTAAGAGTCGACTAATTGGGAGCTTTTTTCGAAGTAGGAGGCAAGGAACCAACAGTCTGCATTAGTCAGATCTGTCAAACAGATGCACATGCAACACTCAGGTTCTGGAACAAGACTGCACTCCAGAAATGGACGAACGATCAGAACTTTCCATCAGAGTTTACAGCCGGTGAATGCAAAGAAGAAGAAGAAGAATGAGTGAAGAACCTAGAATTGTAATCCTTGCAATCAGGACATTCCCATATGTGCTCATCCCCCTCTTTATTGAAAACTCCCCATACTGATGGTGCAATCTGATTGAAAGTTTTTGATTGCAGGTAGAAAACTTTTCAGACACTCTGATCACTCTCAGCTGAACATTTCTTCATTGATGAATGCTTTGTCTCACCATAAATCACCATTGATCACTAGCATCATGAGATCTAATAGACTGAAATGGCTTGGTCGTATTGAGAGAATGTCAACAAAAATCTCCTAAACGTTTATCACTTTCACATCTATCTATTTAACATTTATTTCCTTAACATATGTCTAGGGTTTATTAACATTTATTGGTCAGGTCTTGGTCATATATGACTATATCTGCAATGTTGTCACCAGCATGAACTTCACTGTCTTTTGTAATTCACTCAGCCATCCTTAAAGTTTGTCTTGCACCGATGTTTCTGTTGGGCAAAACTTTTGCCTTGATATGTTGTATTTGGGACAGTCTTGGAGGACATGATCTGTTGTCTCAGGTGCAGATCCACATGTGCACATGGCTGATTCGTCGATTTTAAATTTTGTGGATGTGGCTGCAAAGTGAAACAGTTCCCATAAATCCCTTTTAACCCTATAAAATGTCGACATCGGTCAGCAGGGCCTTTACAGAATGTTGTCCTTATCAAGGCATGCCAGAAAGTCTCTCTTTCTCTAGCCAGCTTTTTGTGCTTGGAAAGCCAGTGCAGCTTCAGTGTCTTGATTTGACGTTCGCCGAGGTCTGCCTCTGCATCATTTTCCAGAAACTGCACCCTCTATCGCTGTTCTCTCCATGGCCCAAATACCTGCAGTTTTTCTCAGTGCTCAAATCATGTAAGATTTCTGTGTTTTTTCATCTTTTTGGTCCATGATATTCTAAGAAACCTATATTGGTAGATTGTCAAAATATTTCATGAAAGTAATTATTCTAATGTTTAGTGATTTAGGGCTTGTGAAGATGTTATTACAATCTCAGCATACAAAGATTCAGAGGCAGCTGCAAGGGATTTGGTAGCAGACTGTTTTGCTTCGATTTCAACAAAAGTGTGAACATAGCATGACCGCTGTACTATTCAGGAAGCAATGGCAATAATAAAAGCCAGTAAATGCTTGTTTTGGTTTGCAATGTCCGGAAAAGGATTGGCATTATGATCTTTGTAAAAATTATTTTTATAAATTTTATTCTATCAGAGTTCAGCACAATCAACATTCTTTATCATTCGATGCCTAAGAAGAATACTTGGCTTTAAGTGGCAGGAGAAGATCACAAACAATGAGGTAATGGAAAGAGCAGGTGTCACAACAGTTTTCTCAATGCTCAGTCTCCGGAGGCTGCGGTGGCTAGATCACAGAGAATGGAAGATGCTAGTCCCTAAAGATGACCTCTATTGGGAATTACAGATGGGAGGATGATGTCGAGGCCGGCCTCTACTACGATATAAAGTCTTGTGTTTTTTTTTTTTTTTTTTAATTTGAGATTGAAAGAGGTATTGAGGTAGATTCTTGGAAATAAAATGCTTTGGAAGAAGAAAATCATGAGTGGAATGGGAATACAGGAAAATGATTGAGAAAAGCTGGGAGCTGAGCATCTGAGAAGAAACACACTAAGTACATGTAGTGGTAACAACAGTCCTGAAATGTCATGTTCTAATTGCGGAGGATTTTTCTTAACAAGGGCGGACCTGGCTGGTCACATTCACCGTCACCATGGCCTGTAATTCCCATGCCTCCCTCAGGACAGCATAACACTGTGGCCTGCAACGACAGAAATGTGGCGGCAATCAAAGTTTTCAAAGTGTTAGTACCATATTTGATGTTTTATATACACATATTTGTCTGATTTTTCAAATTAATGACAAATTAAGATTTCTTTTAAATAAATAATTTAGACATGATTAAAATTATAATTGAAACTTCTTTTTTTTCTTCTTCGTTCATCCGAAGATGTAATTGCGTTGTGTCCGTTTACAGCATGGCTGCGATATTTGCACCTTTCGGCCAACACATCTGACTTCTGCGGGCATGTGTTGACCAGGTTAGCCTTCCCGGTTCATAAGTGAAACAATTATGTTTCTCTTAGTTTTTAGATCTCTTCTTAAATCAAATGTTTGAACAATTGCCCATCCTAATTACAGCCCAGCAGACATATATATGATATTTTAATTAGAAAAAAAATTATATAGATATTACTCCATATACACATTTCCCACCCAAACTGGACTACAGGTTGCTTCATTATAGCCATATACTCCAATATAAATGTTTCACAGTTGAAAATTGGCTCACAAACAGCATCCTGAGGTATTGTAGTTATGTTATGGGAAAACCTGATCGCAGTGAATTGGAAACCTTGACTAAGACTAAGTCTATAGTTTAGCCATGTTAAAAGTCATGGTGGCATGGAGAGAACAGTGATGGGGGGGGGGGGGGGGGGGTTCCATTTCTGGAAAACGAATGAGAGGCAGACCTTCACGAACGTGGATAGAAGACACTGAAAATGCACTAGCTATGAAAACATATAGGGTTGGAAAGCTGGCCAGAGAGACTTTCAGCTGTGACGAGAGCGACGTTCTGTGAAGGACCTGCTGCTTGATGATGATGAATAGGGTTAAACAGGATTTCTTAGATTTGCTAATTTGAATTATCCTCTTTTTGTAGTAGAGCTATACAGGGTATTTCTTTGAGTCACTTGATGCTAATCTCTCATTGAGGGGTAACAAAAAAGAAAATGAACTGAAGTACAAAAAGATATCAGTAATGCATGTTATGGACATAATAAAGAAATATAAATTATAGAATAATACACACATCATGTATACACAGTCGTACACACACACACACACACATGTATACATACTCCTACGTTCTCATACATGCACACTCATATACAGACATACGTAATACATACACACATGCATCTACATACATACACAAACATAAAACACATACATCAATGCACAAACATAAAACACACACACATACATTTATGGATATACATGCATACACACATTCCATACATACACACCTATACATGCATCCATGCATACACACATACACACGAGATTGAGCGACATCATCAGGAGAAACCTAACAAAAATGAACACCAACTTGTACAATTCATTGGGAAAAGCGCATAAACGCACCACCCACCCCCCCCCCCCCCCCATACACACTTAACTAAGGTAAGTGGTGGAAGAGAAGAAGAAAAGATCGATAACGAGAAATACACAATACTGTAAGTTAGTAAATAACTCTTTTTCATGCTTTCAGTCGTATTGGGCTAAAACAATCGGCACTGGTTGGGTGATGTGGTCAGCATCACACCCTCCGCTTTTACTTCCCAGGACTGCGCCTGGTACCCACTCAAGACTGAGTCGACCTGGGAGCCATGGTCATTTTTTAAACAAAACACACACAAAAAAAAGGTTTTCCGCCAGGACCCGAATCCACGACCAATCCGATCTGCAGGCTACAGCACCGCGACTCGCAATATAATAATATTAACAACAGAGAACTTGTGTTATCAGTCGCTACTCATACTAAGGAGGGTATCTGAACTTTTATAAAGCTGGATCTGCACCACTGGGTAGTGAATTGATACATGACAAGGCAGATGTGGGCTCGACCCTTTGGGAACAAGCAACGGAATCAGTAGAGAAAGAAGATTATTATTGCCTGGAGAGAATGAGGCACCTGGGTGTAACCAGAGGGTCTGGCCGGTTCACTACACTCAGAGGAAAGGCAAGACGGACACAAAAACAGAATTGTGACTGGTACCATCAGTACTGGAACTCTGCGCTGGCTGCTAAAGATGGGGATGGAGCATGCCCGAGTGCTGTGATGTCAATTCTTGACTCAACTCAACTTAAAAGGCTGAAGGGTTTGAGGTGCAGTGAGGATAATCTGTTGACTAACTAACTTGAGGAAAGGAAACACCCAGCTGTGCTTCCAAATGAAGGAACACGGACAATTGTGTGTCAGACGCAAATTTGGTGTCTGACTCAAACAGTCAGCTAGTCAGTCAATCAATCATATGCTGCCTCCACAGTCAACACCAATACTCTATGACTTTTCAATTTGATATAAACTCTCTTCCATCTGGCAATGGATCGCAAACTGCTCCTTCCCACAATGCTTAACGATAGAAGTGGAAACTGATGGTGGCGATGATGATGATAAACTTATAGTATACTGCTGTTCGTCCATTCCACTTGTATCGCTGTCCGCCTCTTGCCTTCAATTGTTCCCCCCATTGTGGGCTTTTTAAGCGTTATGTCTTTTAATATAGCTTATACATTTTAATTGTCTCTTTACGTTTCCGTTGACAGCCTTCTTTAAATTCCCAGTTTCGCGAGAACTTCTATATCTGATTGTTGTTTTTGAACGAAATACGACAAATTCTTCTGTATATCCGCATCTCCAAAGACAATACGATTTTAGGTTGTCTATCTAAGGTATAAGTGAACAACGGCATGAGAATGTCCCAAGTGCTGTGATATCAATTCTTGACTCAACAAGTGAACAATGGTGCAGCTGTGCAGTGCATTGTACTCGGCTGTACTGACAGTCACAGACTGCTGTCAAAGGCAGGGATAACGTGTATCTGAGCAGATGTTTCTGTCATCATCATCAAGTGCCTTGCCAGCTGGCGTAGGCGATCATGCATCTCCACATATCTCGGTTTTTGGTGTTCTAGATCAGTTCCGCCGACGATATTCTTCCACGCCATCCACAATCACTTCTCTTGGTCTGCCTCTGCAAACAGTGATCTTTCCAGTCATCAAGGATATTTTCCAATGCTCCTTTTCTCATCACACGACCAAAGAACTTTGTCTTCTTCTCATTGTTGTAAATAATTTTCTACTTCCGTTAACCACTTCCAGGCAATCATTGTTAGTTATTCTGGCAGTACAAGGCATTCGTAATATTCTTCTCAAGAACCACATCTCATTTGCCTCCAAATTCTCAAATGTTTCTGTGGATCAGAATAGAGAGTGACCCAGAACACAGTGGACCAAGTTCTGAGGCGAGACATGAATGTCTGCACAAGGTGGCAAGACACGTGGTAGTGATGATGAAATTCCCTCCTTCTTAGCGTTCATCAGCTGTATACTGCGATGGAAAATGCTGGTTGTTCGTCTACTTCTGGCTTGTTTCAGAACTTGAGTTTTGTGCAGATTACAGATCTGGCTTTTTTTTATGCATATTGTAGTTTCCTCGATTCTCAGACAGAACTGTCGGGTGTCCGAATCCAACTGTAATACACAAGGTTTATGGGATTTAGATTCTTATTCGAATACTTTTTCTTTGAGTCACTGTGCATTATTGTTTCAGATTGTAATCCTAGTGTTGTAGGCAAGTAGATGCTTTGCTGGGGAAAAATCATGACGTTCAACTAGTTTCCCCGAAGGGTGAGCCTTAGGTTATAGTTGTGACTAGATTATGTCCGCCATATAAAATTGTTTAGCATTGCACGTCACTAAGAGCCCTGAGAAGGACTCCTGTAGTGTTGAAGCGTTCAAGGGAGACAGACACATATACTGTCCCGACTGGCGATGAAGTCGTCTACCGGCAAGCCAATGGGCGACCTCGTAGCCGATTGATCCTAGACTAGAGGGGTTTCAAAAAATGGACAACAAATGTCACTAGTCACCGTAACTCACAACGGATTCTTTGCGCTGGGGAAAACTTCACCCCGGCGGACAGTTACAGCTAAATAGTTCTCGATATCAAGTTAATTCACTTTTTAAACACGGAAACAATAAGAACAAATCATATTTACATCAAATTTTAAAAAAGACATATCAATTTACGTAATGTCTGCAAAATTAAACATACAAGCAGATTAATAAATACTTTCTACCGGCTTAGGCGGAGGGATACGCTGACACGAAGGCCGGTGGACCTTGTGACGTCATTGAATTTGAGGACGGAGATTTCTGTGACGTGAAGCGCAGATTTCTGCAAGTGCTGTTTATTTTGATTCTCCAGACTCCAACCGATGATCTTCTCAACGTCTCGATCTGTGCCTAGACTTCAGCAGGGACCTAGCTCGGTGATTTCGTTATGAGCTCTTTAGCTTTTGTTGTAAGTGCTTCAGGTTTGTTCATTGTGGGACGGATTTAGCTGCAGGCAGGATGATGCTAAACAAAAAAAGATTGATTAAAATTAAACGACTTTTCATCTCTCTCTCCTGCTGCATGAGAATTTTCCAAGTAGGATTTTTGTTCAGAGAAAGGCTCTCTTACTAATGTTGTACAGCAATGTACAATAAAATTAATATAATTATAGAATTTAAAGTAATCACTTGGGGTCTTCATTATGAACTTATCTCCTCTTGGTTGCCTTCGCCTTGGCAGCAACTCGTTGCATGCTTGTTATAATCATGACATCATTAACTAACGGAACTAACTAACGTCTTTTCTTGTACCAAACTGATAAAATAATAATCTTGTTCTCAACGTCTACATCTTTGCCCAGCTCGGCGATTTCATTATGATCTCTTTAGCTTTTGTGCTTCACGTTTTGTGCATTGCGATTGTGGGGCCGATTTAGCTGCAGGATGGAGCTTAACAAAAAATGAAGTGGTCTTTTTATCATTCACTGATCATCTGGGACAGGCTGGCTTAATAATGTACAATAATATTATTAATGGTTATAGAATTGAAATCAGTCCCTTGCTGTCATGATCTTATCCCTTCTTGGCTGCCTTTGGCCTTGGCAGCTTATCATGCCTAGACATAATTAACTCTTTGAGTCCCAAGAAACGCATCATTACGTTAATAATAGGTTCCTACCTAGAAGCCCAATGACCGCACGATGCGCCGATTTATTTCTTTCTTTACTATCCACTGGGCCTGTGATGCTAAACCTCCTAGGACTCAAAGAGTTAACAGAATTAACATAGTTTTTTTCTGGTACCAAACTGATGGAATGACCTTGTTCCAAACCACATAATCATCTTAAGGCAGACTCCAGCAAGGACCCAGCTCTGTGATTTTTTATGAGCTCTTTAGCCTTTGTTGCCAAGTTTGCTCACTGTAGGGCAGATTTAGCTGCAGGACAGTGCACTAAGTCTAAGTTAGTAACAATTAAAGGTCTTTTAGGACTTTTATTTAACTTTGCTCTAATCACCATTCACTCCTAAACTAAGCCTCTGCCTTCTGGCATGAACATTTTAATTGTAAACTTTATGGCCTTGTTCAGGAAAAGGCTCTCTTATTAGCGTGTGGGTTCCGGGGCCCCAGTATAGGAGGAAACAAGAAATCAACTGCCTCGCCAACAAGCATGTCCTGAGAGTCAACTTTTTGGGAACTTCCTTTGAAGTCGGAGTACATCTGCCTGAGAGGCAAGAAACCAACAGTCTGCGTACACATGAGCCAGATCTTTAAAATGGATGTACAGGAAACACTCATGTTCTGGAACAACTAGAGCTTTCTGCTGGAGTTTACAGCCAGTGAACACTAAGGAGAAGATTGTTAGTTAACAGCAGTGTGCAAATAATATTATTAATAGAGAATTTCCAGCAGTCACTTCAGTCATTATTGATTATCCCTTTTTGATGAAGTTTTGCCTTTGAAACACGATGCCATGACATTGTTTTTCTTGTACCAAACTGATAGGTTATCTTCTCAACATCTCAGTCTTTCAAAGCTGTGTTTTCCCGTAGTGAATTTGAACAAAGATACAAACAATAGATTGCACAATTTATTGCCTGGCATATTTCGCTGTATCTCGTCAGTTGATTAAAATGAAGCAAATAAATGAAACTTTCAAACTGAAACACAAAATCAACTACAGTCTTACATTGTCTGTTTCACCAAGGTAACCGCAAAGTGACACATTTCTTTCTGGGGAAAAAAGCCCAGAAAGAAATGGCAAACTACGGGACGTAAATTTGTCTAGAAAAACCACAACAGCCAAGAAATGCTGGGGTTGGTTCTGCAACGTCATGTAATGGATAGGCAACTAACATCTTATTAATGTACAATAATATAGATTTTCCAACAGTCATTTGTAGTAATCTTTTCTTCACCTCCTTCTGCAGCTCGTTCCATTAAACGTCATTTCATTAGATTATCATTTCAAACCGCTGTCACACTGATGATCTTCTCAACATGCAGATCTTTGCCTACACTTAACGAGGACTTAGTTCGGTGGTTTTATTATGAGCTCTTCAGCTTTTGTTTTACTTCACAGGTGTTTATTGCAGGTGAAATGTTTGCTTGTTGGTGGGTGCTAAATAACAAATTAACCAAGTTCATTTCTGTATGCAAATTTTATAACTAATCTATGGGTGTGTTTAAACTCCATAACTCGGGCGATGATCTCCAGGGATCTCTGAACAATTTGTTGTCCGTGAACTGAACAGCGCACCACTGAAATAAACCCAGATCCTTTAGAGCTCGAGGCTGACAGCTTGACCACTTCACCACGGAGACCCTCTGGTTTCTTAGTAATGTACACTAGTATCAATAAACCAAGACAGTTGTAGTGATTGTTTCTTCTTCACCATGGAGACCCTCGGGTTTCTTAGTGTACACTAGTATCAATAAACAAAGACAGTTGTAGTCATTGTTTCTTCTTTACCATGGAGACCCTCTGGTTTCTTAGTGTACACTAGTATCAATAAACAAAGACAGTTGTAGTCATTGTTTCTTCTTTACCACGGAGACCCTCGGGTTTCTTAGTAATGTACACTAGTATCAATAAACAAAGAGAGTTGTAGTCATTGTTTCTTCTTTACCATGGAGACCCTCGGGTTTCTTAGTGTACACTAGTATCAATAAACAAAGACAGTTGTAGTCATTGTTTCTTCTTTACCATGGAGACCCTCGGGTTTCTTAGTGTACACTAGTATCAATAAACAAAGACAGTTGTAGTCATTGTTTCTTCTTTACCACGGAGACCCTCGGGTTTCTTAGTGTACACTAGTATCAATAAACCAAGACAGTTGTAGTGATTGTTTCTTCTTTACCACGGAGACCCTCTGGTTTCTTAGTGTACACCAGTATCAATAAACAAAGACAGTTGTAGTCATTGTTTCTTCTTTACCATGGAGACCCTCGGGTTTCTTAGTGTACACTAGTATCAATAAACAAAGACAGTTGTAGTCATTGTTTCTTCTTTACCACGGAGACCCTCGGGTTTCTTAGTGTACACTAGTATCAATAAACAAAGACAGTTGTAGTGATTGTTTCTTCTTTACCGCGGAGACCCTCGGGTTTCTTAGTGTACACTGGTATCAATAAACAAAGACAGTTGTAGTCATTGTTTCTTCTTTACCACGGAGACCCTCGGGTTTCTTAGTTATGTACACTAGTATCAATAAACAAATCAGTTGTAGTCATTGTTTCTTCTTTACCACGGAGACCCTCGGGTTTCTTAGTTATGTACACTAGTATCAATAAACAAATCAGTTGTAGTCATTGTTTCTTCTTTACCACGGAGACCCTCGGGTTTCTTAGTGTACACTAGTATCAATAAACAAAGACAGTTGTAGTGATTGTTTCTTCTTTACCACAGAGACCCTCTGGTTTCTTAGTGTACACTAGTATCAATAAACAAAGACAGTTGTAGTCATTGTTTCTTCTTTACCACGAAGACCCTCGGGTTTCTTAGTGTACACTAGTATCAATAAACAAAGACAGTTGTAGTCATTGTTTCTTCTTTACCACGGAGACCCTCGGGTTTCTTAGTAATGTACACTAGTATCAATAAACAAAGACAGTTGTAGTGATTGTTTCTTCTTTACCATGGAGACCCTCTGGTTTCTTAGTAATGTACACTAGAATCAATAAACAAAGACAGTTGAAGTCATTGTTTCTTCTTCTGCAGCTTGTTGCACTGTGGCATTGTTGTCAATGTTTGAGTTGTTTATTTTTTTATTCAGCCCCCGACACCGGTATTACTGGAGTTCCCCGGAAAGTCTACTGTTATAGGAGAGTTAAGTTTTGAACACTGACGAACCCTTACACCTCTATAACATTTGAATTTTCCAGGAAATCTAGACTCCGCCTGTTTAGGGTGAATAAAAAATAAAGAACCAATGTTTCTCTTGTTGTGTAGTGTACTTTAGCTTTAATTTTTTTTTTTTACCAAACTAATGGTCTTTTAAGTATCACATTTTTGTCCGCCACTTTGATCTGTTCATTGTGGGGTGATAAATATGAAACTGTTTTTGTTTTTGGTGTCTGTATCACTTCTTCAGTTAAATGTTGGTTTGTACTACTGTATAAAGATATGTGCAGTCAGGATATGAATAATACGAGTCCTGAGGTGGGTCAGGACTTTTTTCTAGGGGAAAGAATATCGGTACTCATCACAAAGTGCCTGTTACAGTAGTGCTGAAAAATGGGTGCCTAAAAAAACAAGTGCAGTGTTGGTATTCGTGGAAACAGTAGGCCATGGACGATGTTTCATGGAGGGAGGAAATGAGGAAGGAGTGGTGGCAAAGGAGAAAATGATTGCAGATAGATTAAGTACTGAGCGTCTGAGAAGTAGCTGATTAAATACATGAGATGGCAACAGGGGTCCTGAAGTATCATGTACTTATTGCAGAAGATTTCTGAACTTGGGCGGTCACGCTTGTCTTCCCCATGAACTGTGTTTCCCATGGCTCTCCATAAATAGCACAGTTTAAACAGTTTGTATTTGGTGTCCTTGCTTCCTAAGTCCGTTGATTTCTTATTTCAGTGTCAGTTTTTGGACCAGCTATGTGCAGTAATTAGGTTCTTCCACAGATTTGTAAAAAAATTGTCTTAAATGTGTGCTAAATCTAATATGGATATACAATCTTTCTCTTGCAGACACATCCTAGTGTAAGAATAAAAGGCACGGAGAACAGCTACACACCAAGTCAGTGCCTTGATGAACGATGCCCAGTCAAAGCTCCACACCTGCACTGCCCTTTCTGTGTGAAGACAGACGCTTATCAGGACCCGGTCATACTGAAGGCACATTACAGAGTTAAGCATGTGGATAAAGGGATTGAATTTGCAGGTAACTAACGGGGTTGTAACTAGAATGTATTTGCACTGGAACCCACAGGAGAATAGGAATAAAGGAAGACCAAGAAATACATGGAGAAGGGAGCTTTGCCAATCAGAGAGAAGATATCTGGCCCACAGGAGTGTCACTACAAAACAGACTGGGGTACTGTAGGTTTGTGACGCATATTGTAATTGAAATATAGCAAACGTGGATCACTGAATAACACCCAAAAGCTTACTTTAACTCCTTCTCTCTGAGTGGGTTGAGCGTAAAAGCAGTAAGATCTGTATGAGTTTATTAGAGACACTGGGACAGTTGTATAACTGAGATACAAAGAGTTAATATAGCATCTGTCTGGAATAAAATGAACAGATATTATTTTCAGAGGTCATAAATTGGGCACGCAGGCCCAACTTACATTTAACTCTCTCAAGAATTCTACTTTCACACCACAGTTGTATTCCTTCTAGCAGTATACATAATTTTAAGAGCAAGTAAAAAGACACAAGCATGTATGGCAAATGCCCAAATTTAAATACAAATTCACACAGATGCATACACACGTGTATACATGTATACACATATGCATAAACGCATTCACTGCCCATATGGGTTCCGGGGCCCCATTGTGGGGGAAAACAAGAATAGACGCACAGCTTGCTCAAAAGCATGTCATAGGAGTCAACAAATTGGGGGCTACCTTCGAAGGCAGCGTGCATCTGCCTAAGAGGTGAGGAACCAACAGTCGGCATACAAATGACTCAGATCTGTAAAATGGATAAAGGTGCAATGCTCAGTTTCTGGAACAGGACTAGAGTCCGGAATTGAATGAACAACCAGAACTTTCTGCCGGAGTTTTCAGACATCCTCATTACTCTTTTTATCTGTCCAGGGTTTTCTGATAATTCGTCTAAAAACCACATCTTCACAGCTTCCAAATAATTTTTCTTTAATACATATATGGTCGGCTCTGTGGCTAAGTAGATGCCAACGCTTCGTAGTGACGGGATCGATCCCAGCTGCAGGCCATGCGCCTTATGTTGGTTTCAACAGTGGTATTAAGAAAGCAGACCGTCCAGAAAGCAATGGCAAACTACTGGACGTAAATTTGCCTAGAAAAACCAGACAACAGCCAGGGGCTGTTGAAGTTGGTTCTGCAACTCCCTGTAAAGGATACGCAACTAACCTAATACATATATGAATGCATAAGAGAAGATAGGAAGAGCATCATGTGTTTTAAATCACCAAGAGATGTGTGGTAGCTGGTTTGGTACTTGAAGCAGCTCAGAATCACAGCTGACCAACTCTGCCTTCTATGCTTGAACCACACCCCAACTGACATGACCACTGCTTTTTCAGGTTTAAAAATACTCCGATGTTGTGATCAGTGCGATATCATAGGAATAATCAAAGGAGAAAAGAGGTTCAAGGGAGCTCATTGGCACTGCTACCGCTGCAGGAATGGTTTCAACAGACGCGACGAAGCCATTAAACATTACAAGACACATTTCCGAAACCCGCAGACTACCTTCCAAATTCAAATTACTCAGGTTTGTATCTTTTATGAGTTAGTGTTTTTTTTTTTTAATTTAAAAGTTGCATTGATTAGAAGCAGCTGGCAGAACGCTTGAGAACACTGGGCTGTAGTGTGGGAAACCCAAGTTTGAATCTCCGAACTAGCAATGCAGTCTTAAATCCTCAGGCTTCGAGAGCTCCCTGTCTAGGCCGTAAATTAGTGAAAACAAGGATGACTGGTCAAGCTTATACCAAGAAATGAATCAATTAAACTCATGGCTAAGAAGCTGAATAAAGTGGGAAAGGGAAACGGTGTGCACACGCAGGAAAAATAGGACATTTTGGCTGGAGCCTTTTTCAACACACAGCAGTAACAAAGGGCAGAGTATCCTTGATAACATACATGGGGGGGTGGGTGACATGAATTACTATAAAATATAGGAAAAAAAGGTGCGGAACAATTAAAAAGTGGTGAGAGGATCGACTTCACTGCACCTGGTTTTATCCCATATGGCTCAGTATGTCTCAGCAGAGCAGCTAGGTGACTGCCGAGAGCATCACACATAGCACGACCTCCTTAGCTCCGGCAGCCATCCCCAAGGATCTCCATAATAATTGCATGCATCAACTGAACGAATGTGCCATGAAATGAACCCAAGACCTTCAGAGTGTAAGGCAAACAGCTTGACCACTTCGCCACAGAGACCACTAGGAACAAATAAAACAAAATGAAGGAGCTAAAATAGTGATAACAAAACAGGAGTAATTGGAGCCCACTTGATGTAGTGGTTAGAACTCGCCTGCAGATCCATATGCCGTGGGTTTGTATCTGCATCAAGCTGGGGTTTTTCCCCCAAACATGACCTTGGCTGCCACGTCGACCCAGCCCTAAATGGGTACCAGATAAGGTCCTGGAAAGTAAAGGCGGCTCGTGTTGTTGACCACATCACTCATCAATGTCCGATTGGTCTATAAAAATATGAAAAGCCTCATATACCCGACTGACGTAAAGGTACATTTTATTTTTTTAATAGGAGTAATAATCCTAATATTGGTAATAGTAATCGTAATGTAACTGTGGTGATAATAATAGTAGTAGGAATAAAAATAATAATGATCCGTAAATAGTGACAATAACAGATAGAATAAATGGGCTCAGAAATGTGAAAGAGGCGATTTTCAGTTCATAATTTATGTGTTCAGAGTCTGAAACATGAGACTCCAGCATGAGAGCCCGGTGCTCTAAGGATTTGGCCAGCCGCTCCTTATGTGTATGTTTTTAGTGTTTCCTTCTACAGTAATTAGGCTGCTTTTAGGTGTGTTTTTTTTGGGGGGGGGGGGGGGGACTGGAGTAGTTGCTGTATTATGCAAGTATTTGTGTTGCCTTCTGCAGTCTTTAGACAGTTTTTATGTTGTTGCCTTGCCTTCTACAGTTTTTAGGCTGTCTTTGGTTTTTTTTTTTTTTTTGACTGGAGTAGTTGTATAGTGTATGTTTTTATGTTGTTGCCTTTTCTTGTTGTTTTGCCTTCTGCAGTCTTGCGGCTGTTATTATGTAATATTATGTTGTCTTTTCTTGCTCTATTCTAGACTGGAGTAGTTGTATTATGTATGTTGGTATGCTGTGAACGTGTCACAGTGAAGCTTGCAGTTGAAAACAAAAATCTCCTAAACGTTCACCACTTTCACATCTATCTATTAAACATTTATTTCTGTCTAGGGTTTTATAGAACATTCATTGTATAACTAACCTAAAATTAGATTTGCTTTTCAACATCTGCTAAAGTCAAAGTCTCTATCCCACAACACCACGATATAAAAAAATAAAACGTCGATAAAATCAATCGTTTTATATGGCTCTCAACTTGGAGCACAGCCTCATTACAAATTTTTGAAAACAGAGTATTACAACAAATTTTTGGACCTATCAGTGATGCAAACAGCGAGGAATAAAGAGTGAGAAGCAATAACAAAGAGTGAGAAGCAATAACAAAATTCATAATCTGTTTAAATAACCATTGATCACTGGCATCATGAGATCTAATAGACTGAAATGGTTGGGGCATATTGAGAGAATGTCAAATGACAGAGAGGTAAAAACTGTATACACAAGGGAGCTAAATGGTCATAGACCACAAGTCAGACCAAGAAGACGATGGAGAGATAACGTCCAGACAGACCTGCAAACACTTGGTGTCACCAACTGGAAAAAGAAGGCTAACCAGAGAGATGAGTGAAGGCCGGCAATATCTGCAGCAATGAACCTCAAGGGCTCGGAACGCTGAAGATGAAAAAAATTAGATCGATCTATTTACTTTGCTTTCATAAATATTTGTTTGATAGATTTTTTGGATGACTTTATATCTGATTTATTTAGGTTTTTTTTTTTTTTTTTAATTTTGTTGTTTATGACGTCTTGTCAGTGCAGTCTAAATTTTTTTTCTCTTATTCAGGATCTGAATTCCCCACCTGAGGTTAGACCTCACGAGGAACTGAGTGTCAGCCAAGATGCATTTGCTTCCATTGAAAACCCCATCCAGGAGATAATTCATCCTTCCCTCTCCCAGACAGGCATTACCACAGAGCAGAGTGAGTTTAACAACAACATTATCTCATTTTTGTTTGAGACATTAACCCTCTGATTTGTGTTAATTGTCTCTGAATACAACACATGAACCACATATCACAAACGAAAATGAAGAAAAAGAAAATGTCACAGATTTTGAATGCTTGGGCTCTTTAGTGAACAACAGTGGAGACTTCTCAAAAGAAAGAAGACTTGCAGTAACAATGCAGAGATTAAACAGCATGAAGGACCAATGGCAAAGCACCTGTAAATTAGTTAAAGTAAAAATCTTGAGATCGTGCATTTTTCCTGTGGCAGCTTACGGTTGTGCGTCCTGGAATCTCACTTGATCATTGAAGAAAAATATTGTATTTTGGTCACATCAAACGTCGCGGTGGTTTGGAAAAGACGATGCTGGAGGGTGCAGATTGTGGAAGACGAGGCAGAGGCGGACCTCCGTGAAGATGGATACAAGACATTTAAGATGCATTGGCATTGAAAGCACATGGGGCTGGAGAGCTGGGGCTCTGTAAACGACTTGCTGACTGATGATGATCTCAGAATTATTTCAAAATATTCTTTTCTGGGGTCCCATTGGGAGGGGGAAAAATAGATCCACTGTCCCATGGCAAGCATGTCATAAGAGTCAACAAATTAGGGATGTTTCCTTCGAAGTCAGAGTGTGTTTACCTGAGATGCAAGGAACCAGTAGTCTGCATACAGATTAACCAGATCTGTAAAATGGATGTGCACACAGAATTCAAGTTCTGAAGCGTCAAGAAGTGGATAAACAATCAGAACTTTCTGCCGGAGTTTACAGCCGGTGAAGGCTGAGAAGAAGAATATTTCTAGATATTAACTCTCTGATTTGGGTTAACACCTCTGACGGTTATTTCTAGATAATAACTTTCTGATTTGTGTTAATTAGCTCAGTTATTTCTAGATATCAACTTTTTGATTTGTGTTAATTACCTCAGTCAGTTACTTATAGATATTAACTCTCTGATTTGTGTTTATTACCTCAGTCAGTTACTTCTACATGTTAACTTTGATTTGTATTAATTACCCTAGTCAGTTACTTCTAGATATTAACTCTCTGATTTGTGTTAATTACCTCTGTCAGTTATTTCTGGCAGCTCCTAACTCTCTGATTGCTGTCTCCTCCCCAGATGTGATAACAACAGGGACCAGACGGAGCGTCGGCGGCGTAAAGAAGATTAAAGTGAGACACGAGCTTCTAACCAAAGACGACTCCGGGGACCACGAGGATGAGGAGACCATTATGATAATTCAGGGCGACCCGGAGTCTGCATTCGCAAACCATCTTCTGAGTTCAGGGGTCAGTGACGTTCTTATTGTTCTTCACATTCACCGGCTGTAAACTCCGGCAGAAAGTTCCGATTGTTTGTCCACTTCTGGATTTTAGTCTTGTTCCAGAACTTAGGTTTTGCGGGCAGATCCGTTTTTACAGATCTCTCATATTTGTAAGCAGAATGTTGGTTGCTTGCCTCTCAGGCAGGTGCACTCTAACTTTGAAGGAAACCCTAATGAGTTGACTCTTAGGACATGTATGTTAGGTAGGCAGTAAGTCTATTCCCCAGAACCCGACCCAAGATCATTGCCAGTTGTATTGTGATTAATGATCTTTCTCTGCCTGGGCTTGGACCTTTGGCTGGCAACGATACGCATTTTCAAAATCTGGGCCCCTAAGTAAACTTAGTTGAATAGCCCTGGTATGTGGTGATGGGATATGGTGTTAGGATAAATATGAGATATGGTGTTAGGATAAATATGAGTGAGAGAATTGAAATAAGTATGAGGTGTGTTGTGATAAGTATGAGAAATAGAAGTATGAGATTTGTTGAAATAAATATGAGATACAATGTTGGGATTAGTAGGAGATGAGTTTGAATAAGTACGAGATAGGTTTGAGATATGTTAGGGATAAGTATGAGGTATGTTGAGATAAGTATAAATTTGAGATATGTTTGGATAGGTATGAGATATGTTGGGATAAATATGAGATACGTTTGAGATATGTTGGGATAAGTATGAGATGTGTTCCGATATGAGATGTGTTGGGATAAGTATGAGATGTGTTGCGATAAGTTATGAGATATCTTGTTTGGTTGGGATTTGGTGTTAGATCCAGCATTGGATACAGAATTAGGCACAGTATTTTTATAGTTTCAGACCCAGCACAGGATATGCTGTCAGACCCAGCATGGGATACGGTGTCAGGCCCAGCATAGGATATGGTGTCAGGCCCAGTATGGGATACGGTGTCAGGCCCAGCATGGGATATGGTGTCTGGCCCAGCATGGGATATGGTGTCAGGCCCAGCATGGGATATGGTGTCAGGCCCAGCATGGGATATGGTGTCAGGCCCAGCATGGGATATGGTGTCAGGCCCAGCATGGGATATGGTGTCAGGCCCAGCATGGGATATGGTGTCAGGCCCAGCATGGGATATGGGATTAGATCTAGCATGGGATACGGTGTCAGGGCCAACATGGGATTAGGTGTCAGGCCCAGCATGGGATATGGTGTCAGGCCCAGCATGGGATACAGTGTCAGGCCCAGCATGGGATACAGTGTCAGGCCCAGCATGGGAAATGGTGTCAGACCCAGCATGGGATATGGTGTCAGGCCCAGCATGGGATACGGTGTCAGGGCCAGCATGGGATACGGTGTCAGGCCCAGCATGGGATACGGTGTCCGGCCCAGCATGGGGTATGGTATTAGATCCAGCATGGGATATGGAACAAAGGCTAGAATGGAATGGGGTATTCCTGCAAGTTTTGGGTTCTTAACTGCCATTAGACTCCTGTCCAGTTCCCATAGGTCAGTATATTCTGGACTATAAACAACTGCCTCTGTTGGACTATAAACAACTGCCTCTGTTGGACTATAAACAGTTCTCTCCGTTAGGTTGTAGATATCTGTAAACAGTTGTCTAGGCTAGGCTATAAACATCCGTCTGTTGGACTATTAACAGTTCTCTCCGTTAGGTTGTAGATATCTGTAAACAGTTTTCTGGGCTAGGCTATAAACATCCGTCTGTTGGACTATAAACAGTTCTCTCGTTTAGGATATAAATATGTCTTGTGTTCCAATATAAACAGCTGCCTCTGTTGAGCTATAAATAGCTTTCTCTGTGTGACTATTATTAAGTCTCTGTTAGATTATAAACAGCTATCTCTGTGTGACTATAAATAGCAGTCTCTGTTGGGCTATAAACAGCCATCTCTGTGTGACTATATAGCAGTCTCTGTTGAACTATAAACACGTGTCTCTGTGTGGCTATAAACAACCATCTCTGTGTGACTATAAACAGCAGTCTCTGTTGGGCTATAAACAGTTGTTTGTGTATTTTATTGCAGGAATTAACTGTGTTGAACAGAACCGTTGACCCGAACCTATCCTGGGAAATCAGGTTTCGCCTCGAAGAGGAAGAGAAAAACATTTACAAAGCAAAAGCAGAAGAATATAAGGCACAGGTAGGGTTGTACGTCACAGTACATGTCTTCAGTTACATTTGTGTTGTTGTTAGTCCCAAGGCCGATGGATTGTTTGAGAACTATGCAGTTAGTCATGGGTCTGAGTTTTCTGAAAACTAACTACTGAAATATAAGTCTAAGAACTAAGGAACTACACGTGAGTCTAAGAACTAAGGAACTACACGTGAGTCTAATAACTAAGGAACTACACATAAGGGTGAGAAGTATGGAACTACTTGAGAGTCTGAGAACTAAGACTTTTCATTTGGTTTTATATCTTTTCATGAAAACTATGGAACTAAACATGAGACAGAACTAAAGAACTACACATGAGGCTGAGAACTGAGGGACTACACATGAGGCTGAGAACTAACGGACCACACATGAGACTGAGAACTAAGGGACCACACATGAGACTGAGAACCAAGGGACCACACATGAGACTGAGAACCAAGGGACCACACATGAGACTGAGAACCAAGGGACCACACGTGAGACTGAGAACCAAGGGACCACACATGAGACTGAGAACCAAGGGACCACACATGAGACTGAGAACCAAGGGACCACACATGAGACTGAGAACCAAGGGACCACACGTGAGACTGAGAACCAAGGGACCACACGTGAGACTGAGAACCAAGGGACCACACGTGAGACTGAGAACCAAGGGACCACACGTGAGACTGAGAACCAAGGGACCACACGTGAGACTGAGAACCAAGGGACCACACGTGAGACTGAGAACCAAGGGACCACACATGAGACTGAGAACTAAGGGACCACACATGAGTCTAAAAACTGAGAAACTACACAGGAGCCTAGTTGTCTCAGTAGGCATGATGCGAGTGCCATTATGCTTAGCTAGAGAATCACAGCTCTACTGATTTAGATTGTGTAAAAACTTTAGTACCTCAGGCCTTATTGTATCTGATATTACATGATCAGCCGCCTTTGTAAGATATCCTTTGTTTTAGAGTGAGATTTCTAGAAGAAAGACCCTGTGTAGAACTATCATCAGGGAAGGCCTGGCCCTGGGCTTATTAAACATCCAAGACCTAAAACAGGTGACAACAAACCACCAGACATAGAGAGCTATGACCCCTGCGCTGCCCTAGGCTCAAGAGGAAAGTAACCATATCAATCCTCTTTGACAGTATCTAATATAACTATCAGTCCTCTGTGACAATATCTAATGTAACCATATCAATCCTCTGTGACAATATCTAATGTAACCACATCAGTCCTCTGTGACAATATCTGATGTAACTATATCAATCCTCTGTGACAATATCTAATGTAACCATATCAATCCTCTGTGACAATATCTAATGTAACCATATCAGTCCTCTGTGACAATATCTAATGTAACCACATCAGTCCTCTGTGACAATATCTAATGTAACCATATCAATCCTCTGCTATCAATCCTCTGTGACAATATCTAATGTAACCATATCAATCCTCTGTGACAATATCTAATGTAACCACATCAGTCCTCTGTGACAATATCTGATGTAACTATATCAATCCTCTGTGACAATATCTAATGTAACCATATCAATCCTCTGTGACAATATCTAATGTAACCATATCAGTCCTCTGTGACAATATCTAATGTAACCACATCAGTCCTCTGTGACAATATCTAATGTAACCATATCAATCCTCTGTGACAATATCTAATGTAACCACATCAGTCCTCTGTGACAATATCTGATGTAACCATATCAATCCTCTGTGACAATATCTAATGTAACCATATCAATCCTCTGTGACAATATCTAATGTAACCACATCAGTCCTCTGTGACAATATCTGATGTAACTATATCAATCCTCTGTGACAATATCTGATGTAACCATATCAATCCTCTGTGACAATATCTGATGTAACCATATCAATCCTCTGCTATCAATCCTCTGTGACAATATCTAATGTAACCATATCAATCCTCTGTGACAATATCTAATGTAACCACATCAGTCCTCTGTGACAATATCTGATGTAACTATATCAATCCTCTGTGACAATATCTAATGTAACCATATCAATCCTCTGTGACAATATCTAATGTAACCATATCAGTCCTCTGTGACAATATCTAATGTAACCACATCAGTCCTCTGTGACAATATCTAATGTAACCATATCAATCCTCTGTGACAATATCTAATGTAACCACATCAGTCCTCTGTGACAATATCTGATGTAACTATATCAATCCTCTGTGACAATATCTGATGTAACCATATCAATCCTCTGTGACAATATCTGATGTAACCATATCAATCCTTTGTGACAGTATCTAATGTAACTATTAATCCTCTGTGACAATATCTAATGTAACCACATCAGTCCTCTGTGACAATATCTAATGTAACCATATCAATCCTCTGTGACAATATCTAATGTAACCATATCAATCCTCTGTGACAATATCTAATGTAACCATATCAATCCTCTGTGACAATATCTTATGTAACCACATCAATCCTTTATGACAACATCTGATGTAACCTGATCAGGAATATCTACTGTAGAGTTACAGTAAATGTTTGATAACAAATTGTTGACACCTGTGGATATTGTTCCCAAAGAGCATCATATTTCTTTGGTTTCAGGTAGAGCTTCTGCAGCAGCAAGTGGTTGACTTGGAAGCACAGTTGGCTCAGCAGAACCAGTTGAAGCTTCAGGAGCTGGCTGACATCTTAAACTCTGGAGATGTCAGCAAGCAAGGGCTGGGCCAGCAGCTGATCAAGTTCCTGGAGCAGTGTCAGCTGCAGACCCAAGCTTCTATCACAGTTCTCGAAGATGAGCCTGACAAACAACACGAACACTTAAAACATGAAGTCAGCATACTCCATGAGTTGGAGCATAACCCCAGTGCATTAGCGGATTCACTGAAAGCCGTGCATTCTCATTCACAACACTTGGATGCCGAGGGAAACACTGTTACTCATTTAAGCGAGATTCCTGATGGCTATCAGGTGGTTTGTACTACTTCTGAAGGGCATGTGGTGGTCGCTCATGCAGCAGACGCAGCAGTCACCTCCCCGTTGTCTGAAGGGGAGGGGATATCGTCTGCAGAGTGTATAGATGGTTGTAGTTCGGCAGCAGTTTCTGAAAGCAGCGAAGTGTTGTTTACCCATGTCATTGGTTCGCACATAAAACAGGAATTGCCAGATTTATCCGATGCTGGTGTTATGGCTCAGGTGGGTGGCAGAGAGTTGTCAGAAGTCACCGACGACCATGGCTGCTTACTGGAGGTCGTGGCAGCCGCAGACGGACTAGCATCATTGGGAACGGATATTGCTGTTGTCACCAGCGGGTCTGAATGTCATGAACACCAGCCAGAGTTTGTCGAAGGCGTAGACAAAGAGCGAGTGACTCTAATCACAGAAGAAAATAATTTAGAAGTAGGAGAACAAATCGGCACAGAGCACTCCATAGAAACAGAACCGCCAGCAAAAAGGCTCAAAATGACATGATAGTCAGTTAACAGTTAGTCACATTCAAGGCAGTTTTATTTTGTTGTTAGTTTGTTTTGCTTAAATGCAACTGATGCATTTCAAACAATTAACGTTTAAGAGAACAGTTCCTACAGTTTGTACTGACACAGGCATGAAGTGTCGGCACTTCGAGGACCAAGGGTTGCCTGTGTAGAAACGATATCATTTCTGAACACGGAATAATTTGGCAGCATCAGATAAGGTGGTAATGTAGCGGCTAGATGCTGGCCTGAAGATCTCGGATTTGTACCCTCACTAAACAGATTGTTAACCCTTTCACCCCGGGAGCCCTACAAAAAATGACCTTTTTGAGATTTATTTTTTAAAATTGATACAGAAAAAAAAAATCTTGTTTCTCTCCCCCCACCAAATGTGTAAAGATATACGAAGGTAGTAATTAATTAACACAGACAGGGTGGCCCTGGGGAGAAAACATACGCTTCAGGTGACTCGTGCCATGACCTCTATCTTACTGGAAAATTTGACCTAAGCTTGGATTTTGACTCGGAGAAAACCCTCTTAAGTGCTATTTTTAGTTATTGTACTCACATCCTGACCTCCTAAACGTTTGAGCAGGTGCAAAAACAGCCAATAGAATTAACTGTGTATCTCACAGACAGGTTACTGTTAGACAGGTCAGAAACTGGACATTTAGTGGTAACTGAACCTAACCAGAAGTTTTGTGGTTTTTCAGGTCAAACCGGATAAAATTGTGTTTGGCTTCCAGGTCAGCTGCTGCCAAAATCATTATCATGTTATGCCATTGTAAATCACATAGGGCTCACAGTTTATTTCTCAACTACATTATGTCCTCTTTTTTTTTCCAGCAGTTTTGTAGTAGACACTTGTGGTGCTTACCGGCACCTTTTATTAGACATCTTGTGGTGAGTAAAGTGAAAGGGCCTATACCGCGATTTCAACAAGCGTATTGGGCATATAGGGCTAGAACTATATTATGCAGACCGATCGGCACTTGGATGGGTGATGAGGTCAAGATCTGGTCTGTTGCCTTTACTTTCCAGGACTTTACCTGGTATCCACTCAAGGCTTGGTCAACCTGTGGGCCAAGGTCGTGTTTGGAGACAAGTTTGGCTCCGTCTCAAACACACAACCTTCCCATCTGCAGGTGAGGTAAGCGTCTAGCCACTACCATTTTGTTTTCCTAGAGGAGAAAACCCTGCCGGTGTCCATAGTCAGTATATTATGGTCATGGGTGAATTACGGCAGACCGGCAGACTAGAATTGTTTACTTCCTCTCCATGTCAACTCTGGCAACCACAGTGGCCAGAGTCATCTGCCTGCCAACATGAAGGTCGTGGGTTTGAATCTGTAATCAAGCTAGATTCCTTTTTTTCTAAATTGGTCCTGGGTCCCAGGTCAACCTAACCTCAAAATTGGTACCAGAAATGGTTTTGAAAAGCCAGAATAGCCCGGGAAATGATGACTGCAACACCCATCAAATAGTCTGTTGAAAAAAAAAGTGGGTCTGGCATCATATGCCAGTGGCATTAAAAAAGTTCTTTCTTTCCCAGTACCAACTTTAGCATTGGACGCACGCAGTCTATTTTTAAAACATTGACTGTTGCAGAGCGTTGAATTAGGGTTGCCTTACATCTGCCCATTTTGTGGATGCTCAGGTATGCTCTGAAATGAGGAGGTATCTCTTCAAAATGGACAGGATTATGGCAACCCTAACTGAATAATTGTGTAGAACTAGTCAGCCTACCTCATACTGTGACAGCCTAATGTGTAAGTACCGCTGCACAGTTTTTACCGTGGCATTACTGTTCTATAACCTCCCATAGCTGGTGTGGTGGTGGGGGCAAGCATCCATGTCTACAAAGTGAATAGATTTCATCTGCTCCCGAGCCTTATAGATAACTTAAATATCCAAGGCAGTGTGGTGTACACTTGACATCATACCACAGAAGCATGGTTCGAATCTCTTCTTATGCAAAAGACCCCCATTCCCCCCCCCCCCCACACGAGGTTTTTTCTTGTTCCCAGAGCAGCTTTCATACTGTCATCATCATCATCATCATTTCCACTTCTGCCCTTAAGCAATGTGGGGAGGAACAGTTTGTGATCCATCCATAGCTTGATGGGCAGCATTGGGCTATTGTCATTCCTTCAGTGTAGCAGTGTGGGGAGGAACAGTTTGCGATCCATAGCTTGATGGGCAGCATTGGGCTATTGTCATTCCTTCAGTGTACTAGCTCTTTAATGTCATCAGTCCATCTTCTCCTAGGATGGCCTCTTGCTTTCCTACTGTGTTTGCCCTTATAGAAGCATAGCCACACTGTGGTGCTGCAATATCTGCTCCTTTCATCCCAACACATCCGATTTCAGCAAAAACCCTAGTCTTGTGGTTTACAGCTAGGCTGCAGTGTCTGGGCAAAAAAAAACCCAGTCACCTTGTGCAGCAGGCTTATCTCTAGCGGTAGTGGGTACACCCTAGAACCCACACAGGATTTTTGTAAACAGTTGATTGCATTGATAATGTTGGTGCTGTTTTGATTCTTTTCTGTTTAGCGACCAGATAACACGAGGTTTAGGGGGGAGAGGGGGTGGGTCAGGTTTAGTGTTAAATTAATGGTGAGCTACTACTAAATCATGTAATGTGGTTGCTAAACAGAAAAGAACCCCTGTTTCCAGTTTGGTCTGGTTACCAGTTGTGTTTAATTTTATCAGCAGTTTCATATTTTTTTTTGTGTGTGGGACATTTGTGATGCTTCTGGTACAATTGCGTTGGTTTGTTTTCATGTACAATTATTGTTGGTTGTTTGAAACAATCACTGTATGAGGTGAGTTGAAAGGTTATTTCAGTTACATCCTGAAATTAAAGGAGACTGACAAAAATAAAAAAAAAGCGTTCTATTTTTTCCACCTTTACTACGTGGCACATAATGTCACATCTTGGTTTTTTGTTACACAAAAAATGGTCACAGTGTGGCTTCTGCTTTTGGAGTGTGAAATTGTGGACCCAGTGGGAGGGGGGGGGGGGGGGGGGGGGGGATTGGCAAAAAAATTAGTGTTAGCAACAACAAAAAAAGCAGATGACATCATTAAAAAAAAGTGTTTAAAGTATGTTTATGGGGGGGAACAAACCACTGTCATGGAAGGCAAAATTCTATTAACCACAAATCCAGCCTTTCAACCTAAAAAATAAAAGATACTCGGAAATTTTGTGCTTGCTTATACAATTACATTTTTAAAAATAAAAATAACTGCTAAGTTGTCACAAGTGGCGAAGAACTCCATGGCCACCTACAGATGTGTTTGGCCAGACTTCAAATCCCAGTTTCTCCATTTCTTGTTTCATATCATAAACTTGCGTATCTTGTGTGTCTGAAAAATAAAAAGTTAATGTCTTTGAGAATTACTGGCACCATGACGGCTAATCGACTGCAACAGAAGAGGCTGGGACTTATAAAGATGATGCCTGATGACAAAGGGACTTTGTACGCAAAAGAATTTAATGGGAGTAGATCACAAGGGAATTAAATGGTATGAGAGGATCACCTTTGGGAGAAAACTAATTAAGTTCCAGCGGACCAAACAGGTGAAGAAAAGATGATGGCGTTGGATAGGACACACGTTGAGAAAACCTGAGAATAATATGACTAGAATGTCTTTTCACTGGAACCCACAGGTGCATAGAAATGTGGGAAGAAAAAAAAACACGGGGAAGGGAGCTAGAGAGTGAAGTTAAAAAAAGATGGAGAGAGCTGCGTGCAATAGTGAAGGATAGAACGACTTGGTGTGAGTTGGTTGAGGGCCCATGCCCCATTGGGGTTTAGAAAGGCATAAGAACAAAACGATCGCGCAGACCAAGAAGGTAATGGTGCGGTAATATACAGCTAGTCATACAAACACTTGGAGTCTCCCACTGAATTGAGAAAGTCAGTTACAGAGACGAGATAAATGGAGGTAGGTGATATCTGCAGCAATAAGCCTCAATGGTTGAAAATGTGGTTGAAGTTTAGAATGTTGAAGAAGAAGAAGTACGTCTATTTAAGAACATAAATTATCACTAGAAAGCTCAGAAGAGGGTAATGGAAAAGACATGCACAAATCCAATTTAACATTTCAACCAAAGTCTTTATCAACAGAGTCACACCAACTGTGACTAGAACGCTCAACAGACAGACAAGACAACAGAGCTTTTAGACAACCATGGTAAATATGAAACTAAGAAATATGTAATAAGAAAAATATATGGACATGAAGGGCTATATTAGGAAACAAAATAAGAACGTGCTTTTTAAAACAAAATGTAGAGAAATATAAATGTCACTCTAACCACTATCTGTGTATTCACCACTTTGATCGGTTGTGAGTTTTGAGGATTTAGGACCGCATGGCTAATGTTGCCATAGACTGCAGGTTGGGATGTTTTTGTGTGTGCCCCTGACAGAGAAACTCACTTTAATAAGGTCAAAACCAGGTCTCCAGCAATAGATGTTCACCCTTTTGCTCAGCTTGAGTAGAACAGCAGCATTCTAAAACTCATTTTTTACTATCACTACACTATTCTTCTTCTTCATTCACTTGTAAACGGCCGGTTGGTAGGCTGTCGTGTGGTTTACTGCCAATATCTGCGCCTTCTGGCACAACACAAATCCGATTTTCGTAAACTCCTAATTAGGTGAGTAGCCTTTTCTGACAATTTTGTTAGGAGGCAGTGGGTCAGGTCGTCCCCCCCCCCCCCCCCCCCCCCCCCCCCCCCCCCCCCCCCCCCCCCCCCCCCCCCCCCCCCCCCCCCCCCATCCATGAGACCTGGAACTTACACTAGGATATCGTTAACACACAAGAATAACATACTTCTACTTTCTATAACACCCACCTGGTGGAATCAGAACAAACGCACAGCCCCCTCCTCCAGCTCCAGTCAGTTTGGAATGGAACCCATACTTCCTGGCCACTGCAACAACGTGGTCCAGTGACTGGTGCCCTACCCCCATCATGTTCAGTATCTGGTGGTTCAAATCCACCAGGTCCTGATAATGTAAACAGCAGAGTTATTAATAAACAGCTTTATTCAGCTAACGCTAACTAGTTACTGATAAACAGCTTTATTAAGTTTACCAGAGTTATTAATAAACAGCTTTATTAAGTTAATCAGTTATTAATAAACAGCTTTATTAAGTTAATCAGTTAATAATAAACAGCTTTATTAAGTTAATCAGTTATTAATAAACAGCTTTATTAAGTTAATCAGTTATTAATAAACAGCTTTATAAGTTAACCAGAGTTATTAAAAAAATGGGATAAATCTGTCTGGGCAACCACTAGTATCAACAATTATAAGACAGAGAAGATGGAGCTGTACTAGTCAGTCTGAGAAGAGACTTGGACATAAATCAAACTACTACTGGAATTGGAACTACTCACTGGCTGATGAAGATGAGAACGGGTCACCTATGGGAATGTCCCGAGTGCTGTGATGTCAGCACTCAATTGAGAACAGACAATTACCAAAGACACTGAACAGAGAACAGACAGACAGACATACAATCTACCAAAGACAACTGAGAAGAGACAGACAGACAATCACCAAAGATACTTAAGTGAGAAGAGACAGACAATCACCAAAGACACTCAAGTAAGAAGAGACAGACAGACAATCACCAAAGACACTCAAGTGAGAAGACTCAATCACCAAAGACACTCAAGTAAGAAGAGACAGACAGACAGTCACCAAAGACACGCAAGTGAAAAGAATTTGAATTCTACTGAAAACATAATTTTTGTTTGATAGAAATGGTGGCATAAACACCATTTATTACATTAGCTATTATATTTCTATCATTATTTAGTTTCTAAGTAATTCCACCATAATCCATAGCTTAATTATTCAATCCATAATTATCTGTGGCTATCTTAATCAATCCATCATTATCCGGTTATCTTATTCAAGCCACTGTCATCCACAGCTATCCTTTTCAATCCCAGCTATACTCAATCCCCCTATCTTTTTCAATATCCTGCGATCTTATTCAATTCCTCTCTTATCCACAGCTATCTTATTCATTTCCCTGCTACCTTATTTAATCCCCTTCTATTGCAGCTATCTTATTTAATCCCCTGCTATTCCAGATATCTTATTCAATCCCCTCCTTTCCACGGTTATATTATTCAATCCCCTCCTAACTAAGCTATCTTATTCCATTCCTTGCTATCTTTCTCAACTCCCTCCTATACCAGCTATATTATTCAATTCAGTTCAATTATTTATTCAGTTCCCTGCTATCGTATTCAATCCCCTCTTTCCACAGTTATCTTATTCAATCCCCTAATATCCTGTTAATCCCCTCCTACCCCAGCTACATTATTTAATCCACTGCTATCTTATTGAATTCCCTCCTAACCATAGCTATCTTATTCAGTTCATCGACATCTGACTCATTCATCAATCCATGAATATTAACATCTGCCTTATTTAGTCCACTATTATCCACAGCTATTTTATTCAATCCATAGTTATCCAGAGACTAATTTACCTCCCACTATCTCAAGTCTTCTTCTTCTTCCACCTTTTACCCCATCAAAGTATCGGGGGGACTATCTCAAGTAACCTACCATTTTCTAACTTACCCCCAATGTCTGGAAATGATCAGGTCTTGCATCATCACACAGTGCCTTGTAAACACTTTCAGCCTTTTCTGTGATAGCCTCCACCGCCTCAAAAACTGGATCAAATATTTCCTGATACTTTTTAGAGAACAATGATTTACAATTACTGAAGAATCAAGACAACTCACTGAATTAATGAACGGCTCTTTGCTAATGACTACAGTCTAATACATAATGATGGAGATATACTGTTCTTTACAGAATCAATTCTGACTTCTTCCTGTGTGAGTTCCAGGCCCCCTTTTGTGGGGAATCAAAGAACAGACCCACCCTGACAAGCATGTTGTACAAGGCAATTAATTAGGAGAGTTCCCTTGAAAGTCGTAGTGCGTCTACCTGAGAGACGTGGAACCAACAGTCTGCAAACAGATAAGCAAGGTCTGTAAAACGGATGTGCACACAAAACTCCAGTTCTAGAAGAAAACCAAAGTCAAGTGGACAAACAAGCAGAACCTTCCATCAGAGTTTACAGCTGGGGAACGCAAAGAAGACTCATGGCAATCCTCTAAAAGCATGTCCTAAAAGCAACTAATTAGGGGGTGTTTCCCTTAAAGTCAGAGTGCATCTGCCTGAGAGGCGAGGAACCAACAGTCTGCATACAGAGAAGCCGGATCTGTTAAATAGATGTGCATGCAAAACTAAAAGTTCTGGAACAAGGCCAAAGTCCAGAAGTGGACGAACAACCAGAATGTTCTGGAATGTTGTGCAGGAGTTGGCAGCCTGAAACGCTATGAAGAAGATCAGCATTCAGTTCGTAAACTAGAAGCAAAGGGGTTATTCGTTTTTGGAAAAAGGATGCAGTAGTGCTAAGTACATAACTGTAGGAAAGTTGCAGGAGAGGCAGAGGGAGACGGAGAGAAAATTTGCTGGACAGTTTGACATCATGGTATGGAGGATCACCTGTGTCATTAGTTCTCTTTATGCCTAGTGGCACATGAGGCTTCAGAGAGGACTTTCCATGCTTTCCTGTCCTGTGCAATCTTCAGTGCAGTTTTCCATGTCAGAGATGCCGCACTCAGGTCACTTTCCGTCTTTCGTCTCCATGTTGTTTTTGGGCGCCCCTGTTTTCTCTTTCCCTCTGGTGTCCATGTGAGAGCTGTTTTGGCAGGTATATCAGAAGTCATTCTCATAACATGGCCAAGCCATTTCCATCTTCTCTTGGTAATCATACTGTCTAAAGTTTCTTGGTTTGTGGCTTGAAGTAGTTTAGTGTTTGAAATTGTATCTGGCCAGAAAATTTTGATAATTCTACGTAGACATGTGTGGTGGAAGGTGGACAGCTTGTGTGCATCCTTTTTGGTCATTCTCCAGCATTCCGCTCCATAAAGAAGTACTGGCAAAATGATGCTCTTGTAGAGTCGGAGTTTCTGTTCCCCTGTGTCAGAGTTGACTGAAAGTACATGAGACAGAAGGTTGTGGATAGGCATGACTATCAACGCCAAATGGCATGGACTTTAAAGAAAAAGTGCTGACATAAATAATGCCTTTAAAAAGGTACCGGTACCTATCATTAAAAAAAAAAATTCCTGGGTAGAAGAAAGAAAAGTTCCCATTTCTATGCTGGCTGACTGACCGACTGACTGATGTTCAACTCCATCAGGACCGCATGACGAGCGAGAAATACCCAGTGACGGATCACCAGGGTAAAGCCCCAGAAACCCCATTAGTAGAAGAGTAGTAGATTTTTACCTCACCGGGACATCAAACAAGCGATAAACACCTGATGACACAAAGTGCCACCATGTGGATGAGGATCACTGTGGAGAAGTCCCAGAAACCGCGTTCAGCCATTAGACCACATTTATGGCCGGGCTATATTGGAATGCTGCTACTCATATTTTTTACAGAAAAACCGACATTCAGTGGATGATGTCAATTTAAAGCTGGCCACCTTTACCACCCTGGTAATTTCCTAGCACCCAACTAGATAATGCTACCTTGCTATATCACTTTCCCCCCCCCCCCCCCCAATTATATTGCATTTATTCCCCCTCAAATTACTTTGCAGCTGTTTCCCTTAAACATATTAATCTTGCATTCATTCAACATCCAAACCTATTACTTTGCAGATATTTCCCATCATACAAATTATTCCTGCATTGATTCCCCCTTGAAACATGTTATTTTGCATTATTGCCCTTTAAACACATTACCATTGTTGCATTTATTTCCCCCTGAGCACACTACCCTGCGATCATTCACCCTCACCACATTACCCTACTGTTGCTTCCCCATTAATTACCTTGTTATGTTTCTCCCTGACGCCAGCCACCAACACCATCGTACTCCTGGGCACCTTGGTGTTGACAAGCATCACTGACAGCGTCGGCATTCTCAACACACAACAGAAATTGAGTTGAGAATACATACCATGTTTACAACAGGCGACTTTTTAGTGTAGATGTTATGTTTAATGTGGATCTGACGTTTAGTGTCGATGTGATGTTGAGTATTGGTGTGATGTCATGTTCAGTGTAGATGTCACATTCAGAAACAATGTTATGTTTAGTGAAGATGTCATGTTTAGTATGAGTGTAATGTTTAGTGTGGAAAATGAGTAGGAATGTTGTTCTGTGTACATGTCACATTAAGTGTATATGTCATGTTCAGTTTAGATGTCACATATTTAGTGTGAATGTCACATTTAATGCGTATGTCACATTTAGAAACATTATATTTAGTAAAGATTTCATGTTTAGTGTGGATGTTATGCTCTGTGTATATGTCACATTCAGAAATATTTAGTGTGGATGACATTTAGTGGGGATGTCATGTTTAGTGTGGATGTATCATTTAAAAACAATGTTAAATTTAGTGTGGATGTCATGTTTGGTGTAGATTTCACATTTAGAAATATTGTCAAATTTAGTGTAAATATCATGTTTAGTGCAGATGTCATGTTTAGTGTAGATGTCACATTTAGAAATAATGTCCAATTTAGTATAATGTCCAATTTAGTATGATGTCATGTTTACTGTGAATGTATGTTTGCTTGCTTGGTGTACCCCACCAGGACAGCATACAAGCGATTAACACCCCGTGACACAAAGTGCCACCATGCGGATGAGGATCACCTGTGGAGAGGTCCCAGAAACCTCTTTCAGTCACAATTGTGGCCCAGCTATATCCAGGGCCCCCGACAAAAGCCAGGGTGGGGTTTCAAATAAGGAAAAATTGCATCACACAAGTGGACGACTTGAAATAATGATGTCATGTTTCACTGTATACGTCAAAATAAGAAACAATGTCATATTTAGTGTAGATGTGACATTAAGAAAAAAATGTCACATTTAGTAATGGATGTCATGTTTAGTGTCACAATCACCTGCCAAGCAACTAACCAACCAACTATACAGCCAATTAAAGAACTAGAGAACCCAGCAACCAGCCTTCAACCAACCAGGCAACCAGTAAAGCAACACTATTTCAGAGCGTCCATTTAGACGTGCATCAAAGCACACTGCTTCGCCCAGCTCTGAGGTGTGTTGTAGGCAGTAGTCCCCTTGAACATGAACTGGTGTGGACATGTTTGGCCAATTTCTGGCCTGTTTGAAATGCAGTTTTTTTTTTTTAAAATACTGTCTGTCCGTCCAACTATCAACATTTAAAAAAAAAACAGATAATGAGAAGCATAATCAGTGCCAGCTGGCAAGGTACATGATAATGGTGAGGCTTAACTCTTTCTGTTGTGCTTATAGATTTACATTTTGTATGTTGTCTAGAGTGTTGTAGCGACATCCTGCATGATCCTGAACATCAAGGAGAACTGGCTCATAAACAGCATCCTGTCTTGAAAGCTGGGGTATACTGGCCATGTCAAGCGCTATGGTGGTCTAGAGACAGAGACAGGGGGGGGGGGGGGGGGGGGGGAATGGAGGGTACAGTTTCCTCTTTTTTTTCTTCTTTCAATCTTTCCAACTGCCACAGCATCTTCTAGTTTTACTTTCCTTATAATTATCATGTTACATGATAACCTGAACCCAGAAATACTTACTTGTCAATAAGAGTTATCTTTCCTTTCTGAAATCTCAATGCGCCACCTGGAAATATTTGCAAATGTGAACAACGTTATCTTCACTCAGTCATATGTTACATCCAACTCTATGCACATCATGATAACCCAATTTTAGCTTGAGAATGGAGGTGGAGGCAGTCACTGCAGCTTTTTGCTTGTTTGAGAAAAAGCTGTACATATATAGCAATTGTAACTGACTCACAGAACATGTTGTGAAAGGGGGAGACAGGTATGCTCTGTGAAGAGTGGCAAACCTCGCTACATAGGTCCTGTGTTGTAGGGCCTTCAGATGTTTTCTCCAGGTATGACGGTGTGTTGGGAAATGAACAGATAGACAGAGTGGCTGGGTCTGCATGACTTGGTGGTGAAACGATGCATGACACGCTAGATGTTGAACGGGTCTTTTGGGAGCCAGTGAACAGAAAAAAGGTTGAACAGAGGTTTCTTTGACGTTTTTAACAAACCGATCAAAATCACGGCACATGGGTAGTAACCCATAAGTGCTCAGTTCTTCTTCTAACTCAAGTCTGAGTCTGAAGAAGCTCAGCACAGTGCACAGGCTCTGTAGCACTGGCGAGGATCCTGAAATACTTTGGGTAGATTTTTAACTCTAAATTTTGCCCGGGCAGCACCGCTAGGCTACTCTTTTCAATTTTTAACCGCCAAGGGATTTTTTACGAGCACAACAAAGCACACGGGCGTCTGATCTCACTACCCAGAGACAAGCAGGAATTACTAGAAGTCTAAGTCCACATGAAAAAATCCCAGCCCTTACCAGGGACTGAACCCGGCACCCCTAGCACTCGAGGCGAACATCATGTCTTAAGACCACACAGCCCCCTTTATGCTCTGTGAAGAGTGGCAAATATAGCTTCAGAGGTTCTGTGTAGTAGGGTCCTTCGGAGATTTCTCCAGGTGCGTTTGGAAATGAACAGGCAGACGGAATGGCTGGTTCTGCATGACTTGGTGGTGAACTGATGCATGACTTGGTGGTGAACTGATGCACCACTTGGTGGTGAACTGATGCATGACTTGGTGGTGAACTGATGCACCACTTGGTGGTGAACTGATGCACCACTTGGTGGTGAACTGATGCACCACTTGGTGGTGAACTGATGCACCACTTGGTGGTGAACTGATGCACCACTTGGTGGTGAACTGATGCACCACTTGGTGGTGAACTGATGCACCACTTGGTGGTGAACTGATGCATGACTTGGTGGTGAACTGATGCACCACTTGGTGGTGAACTGATGCACCACTTGGTGGTGAACTGATGCACCACTTGGTGGTGAACTGATGCACCACTTGGTGGTGAACTGATGCATGACTTGGTGGTGAACTGATGCACCACTTGGTGGTGAACTGATGCACCACTTGGTGGTGAACTGATGCATGACTTGGCGGTGAACTGATGCATGACTTGGTGGTGAACTGATGTATGACTTGGTGGTGAACTGATGCATAACTTGGCGGTGAACTGATGCATGACTTGGTGGTGAACTGATGCATGACTTGGTGGTGAACTGATGCATGACTTGGTGGTGAACTGATGCATGACTTGGTGGTGAACTGATGCATGACTTGGCGGTGAACTGATGCATGACTTGGCGGTGAACTGATGCATGACTTGGCGGTGAACTGATGCATGACTTGGTGGTGAACTGATGCATGACTTGGTGGTGAACTGATGCATGACTTGGTGGTGAACTGATGCATGACTTGGTGGTGAACTGATGCATGACTTGGCGGTGAACTGATGCATGACTTGGCGGTGAACTGATGCATGACTTGGCGGTGAACTGATGCATGACTTGGCGGTGAACTGATGCATGACTTGGCGGTGAACTGATGCATGACTTGGCGGTGAACTGATGCATGACTTGGCGGTGAACTGATGCATGACTTGGCGGTGAACTGATGCATGACACGCTAGATGTTGAAGGGGTCCTTTGGGAGCGAGTGAACAGTTTAGAGACACAAACAGATCATCACGGTCTGAAGAGAATGGTGCAATGAGGGGTGCAATGAGGGGTGACCAGGGGATCTGGCCAACTCTCATTCAACTGCTGCTGATGTTTATACTATGCAAACTTTTAGAACGACACAGTTCTTGATAACTGAAAACACAACTGATTTACAACAACTGCTGGATATTGTGGGGATGGAGAGTGCTCATAAAGGACTTTCTCTGAATATTGAGAAAATGGAAGAAATGGTTATGTCAAAAAAGAAGATAACGCCACAATGTGATATCTCAATTGAAGGAAAAAGACTTGACCAAGTCAACAAACTCAATTATCTGGGAGTAGTCATATCATCAGATGGAAAATGTGTGCCAGAGATTAAAAGCAGAATTGGCCAAGCGAAGGCAGCATTTCAGAAAATTATAAATATCTTATACAGTAGGTCACTCTCATTAAATGTCAGAAAGAGGGTGCTAAAATATTATATACAACCTGTTCTGCTGTATGGCAGCGAATCTTAGAATATCAGTGAACAAATTAGGAAGAATTTGGAAGCAACAGAGATGTGGTTTCTGAGACGAATGTTACGAATATCTTGGACAGCCAGAGTAACTAACAACGATTACTTGAAAGAAGTTAATTAAATTATATCTCTTTATACAGCAATAAGAAGGAGACAAACACTGTTCTTTGGCCACGTAATGAGAAGGGAGACATTGGAGAACATCGTGACAACTGGAAACATCAGTGAAAAGAGGTGTACAGGCAGACCAAGAGAGATGATGCTGGATGGGCTAAAACAATGGCATGGAGGGATATCATCAAGGGAGCTGTTCCACACAACCGGGGATCGTGATCTGTGGCAGCAAGCGAAGAGTTCTTATTCCGATGGTACCAGTAACTGTCTGATTGGTCTTCTTTCTTCCAGTCGACAACTCCAAATGTTTGTAGGTCTGAATGTATACTATCTCTTCACCATCTCCATGGTCCGCATCGTGGTGTACTCCCATTAAATTCTTTTGTGTAAGCCAGTGTTTTCTCAAACTTTTCTTAGCCGCAGCGCCTTTTTTTCAATTAAAATTTTTCCACTGAGCCCTAACCTAAGTAAAATTATGACTATTCGTATGTAAGAGATCAAAACAAATAAAATCGTTATCTTTGAATATTTCACGGCACCCCTGTGAAATGATTGTGGCTCACCAGGGCACTGCGGTGCACAGTTTGGGAATCACGGGTATAGGCAATTTTTGTCTCTGTTTTCTTCTATTCTTTCTATATGATGCTTAACTGTCACAGTTTATTATTTCCCAAACAACTAGACAAACATTTAAAGTTACCATGTGTGCTGACTGAATTGTCTATCTTCTCTTAAACAACTAGACAAACATTTAAAGTTACTGCAAGTGCTGACTGAATTGTCTATCTTCTCTTAAACAACTAAACAAACATTTAAAGTTACTGCAAGTGCTGACTGAATTGTCTATCTTCTCTTAAACAACTAGACAAACATTTAGAGTTACTGTATGTGCTGACTGAATTGTCTATCTTCTCTTAAACAACTAGACAAACATTTAGAGTTACTGTATGTGCTGACTGAGTTGTCTATCTTCTCTAAAACGAATAGACAAACATTTAGAGTTACCGTATATGCTGACTGAGTTGTCTATCTTCTCTTAAACGACTAGACAAACATTTAGAGTTACTGTATGTGCTGACTGAATTGTCTATATTCTCTTAAACGAATAGACAAACATTTAGAGTTACCGTATATGCTGACTGAGTTGTCTATCTTCTCTTAAACAACTAGACAAACATTTAGAGTTACTGTATGTGCTGACTGAATTTTCTATCTTCTCTTAAACAACTAGATAAACATTTAGAGTTACCGTATGTGCTGACTGAGTTGTCTATCTTCTCTTAAACAACTAGACAAACATTTAAAGTTACTGTATGTGCTGACTGAGTTGTCTATCTTCTCTTAAACAACTAGACAAACATTTAAAGTTACTGCAAGTGCTGACTGAATTGTCTATCTTCTCTTAAACGACTAGACAAACATTTAGAGTTACTGTATGTGCTGACTGAATTGTCTATATTCTCTTAAACGAATAGACAAACATTTAGAGTTACCGTATATGCTGACTGAGTTGTCTATCTTCTCTTAAACAACTAGACAAACATTTAGAGTTACTGTATGTGCTGACTGAATTTTCTATCTTCTCTTAAACAACTAGATAAACATTTAGAGTTACCGTATGTGCTGACTGAGTTGTCTATCTTCTCTTAAACAACTAGACAAACATTTAAAGTTACTGTATGTGCTGACTGAGTTGTCTATCTTCTCTTAAACAACTAGACAAACATTTAAAGTTACTGCAAGTGCTGACTGAATTGTCTATCTTCTCTTAAACAACTAGACAAACATTTAGAGTTACTGTATGTGCTGACTGAGTTGTCTATCTTCTCTTAAACAACTAGACAAACATTTAAAGTTACCGTATGTGCTGACTGAGTTGTCTATCTTCTCTTAAACAACTAGACAAACATTTAAAGTTACTGCAAGTGCTGACTGAATTGTCTATCTTCTCTTAAACAACTAGACAAACATTTAGAGTTACTGTATGTGCTGACTGAGTTGTCTATCTTCTCTTAAACAACTAGACAAACATTTAGAGTTACCGTTTGTGCTGACTGAGTTGTCTATCCCTGATGGCCGCCCATGAATCAGCTTCTCGCCAACAAAGGCCCAACTGTTTATAAGATTCTTGTTTGTGGAATTCCACGTGGCTGTACCGTCCTCTAGCTTCTCACTCTGGATGTAGCCAGCAAGCTGGACATTTGATCAACAGGCATAATGATAAAACAAAGCATAGTTGTATATGTTAAAGGAGTGTTAAACTCGTTCATGCCTCACTGCACGGGTTGAACATAATCGTGTCAGTACTGACCAATGAATAAAAGAGCTTCGTGTTTATCGTCCCATGATGCACAGGTACTATTTCTAATGTTATATATTATCTCCAGATCATGCCGGTGTTTTGGTAAATAAGCAGGCAGATAGACTGGCCGGTTCTGCACCACTTGGTGGTGAACTGATGTATGACAAGCTAAATGTGAGGGCGCTTTGGGAGCGAGTGAACAGTGCCGAGGCACAAATAGAACGGTAAGGTCTGGGGAGTTACCAGGGGATCTGGTTGATGCTAACCACTCAAGAGAAGGGCAAGACCCAATCAGACAGTTACTGGTGCTCTGGAATTGGAACTCTTCACTTGCTGTTGAAGATGGGGATGGAGCTCTTATGGGGGTGTGCCGAGTGCTGTAATGTTAATACTTAATTCAACATCCTAATCTTTTAAGGTTGATACAAAATCCGCCCAAAGAAGCTTAAAGAGCTGTGCTTCAGTTTTTTTTTTTATTGAAGGATGCCAACCAGTGGACATTCATCAAAGAGTGCAGGCACCGTATGGAAACAAATGTTTGTCGAAAACAACAGTGACAGACCGGGCAAGAATGTTTCAGAATGGGCATGAGTTCACGAAAGATCTTTTGCAGCCAGGTTAAGCGGAACAGCAAAAAAATCCACAAAATTAATGCAGCAGTATAATATTATATAACAAACATGTGCAACAGATGTCTTCTTAGAAGTCGTGATTGAATTTAGATGTAGACAATTCTTAAGAGAACCAAGAGATAAAATGGTTTGGCCATCTGCCAAGAATGCCCTGGTAACAAAAGTCACAGACAGCCATGTCAATCGTAAGCACAGAGTGAACAGAAGACAATATATTTCTATAGGCAACTGGAGGAATAGAAGAAAAAGAGCATTCGAAGGTCATGGGTTCAGAACCTTTTAAAGTGACCTTGACTCCCAGCCTTAAATGGGTGCCAGGTTAAGTCCTGGAAAGCAAGGGTGGCTGGCATGATGTCGATCTACCACATCACCCACCGAGTGCTGACTGGTCTATAGGTCTAGCCCTATGTGCCCAGTAATTCTGAAGGCGTAGGATTAACATCTCAAGGAAGACGATCACACAGAAGCAAATCCCAGAAACCCTGTCCAACCGGATACAACAGGTTGTGATGCACTTACACACCCCAGTGAATAATCAATATTTAGACGCTGAGCCATGAAGACAACACAAACATCAAAAAGTTATCACTAAATATTTGTGTTTATATTTTTAAAAAAAAACAACAACCACCAAAGTTTAAAAAAAAAAAGTCAAGGACCCTTTTCCAGGGCTTCAGGTGTATTGGGTATATAGGGCTAGACCTAAACGTCACTTGGTGGGTAATGTGGTCAGCATCACGTCAGCTGCCTTTACTTCCCAGGACTTCACCTTGTACCCACTCAAGGCTGGGTGGACCTGGGAGCCAAGATCATTTTTCTAAAAAGTCCAGCCTTTGTCAGGACTAAACCTTCCGATCCACAGGCGAGCGTCTAGTCGCTAGACCATGGCGGCTTCCCACAACCACCAAAGAAAAACATTTTTAAAAAAAATAAACAATAAGACAACAAACCTGCAGAAGTGCAGCAGACATGGTTACAGAAAAGGCTGCCGATGATCCAAGCCCAGCACCAACTGGCAAGTCAGACTTCATATGCACAGATATAGCTGGCAAGTCACTGGGGAAGTGAGATTAAAACAATGAATTTGCTTCGTAATAAGATAACTGTACAAGTGTTTATTACAACATAACAAAAGAGTTGAGTTGAGTTGAGTCAAGAATTTACATCACAGCACACGGGGCATTCCCGTGTGTGCTCTGTCCTCATCTTCAGCAGCCAGCGCAGAGTTCCAATACTGATGGTACCAGTCACAATCTGGTTATACAGGGTTCATAGCCAAATTTACCAACCAATTTCAAGGCTTTTCAAGGTCTCTTTAGTTTTTTTCAAGGTCGTCACGGGGGTAATACTTAACATTCTTAGTGCACTCATGGTGTGCTATTTATACATATACAAATGCATGCATGAACATAACAGGAATATATTTAACATAAACACAAAAATAACGTTGAAAACTCACCACAATAATGTACGCTTGCTAATATTTCATATGTATTCTTGCCTTCATAGACACATGAGAGAAATGAAAGTTGAACTACACAAATAAATATAACCTCACATTAAATCATGAGCTGACTCACTTGAAATAAAATATTTACACATAGTCCATAATATACTTAATCACTGAATATACAATATTTACACACACCATCCATTGCTTTTAACTACTCCTGTCTCTGGATCTCTAACTGTTTTTCGACAATCTGTTTGTCAACAATTTTAATTAAATCTTCCTTGTCTCTAACTGTCTTCCGTAAACTGTTTGAAACAGAAATAAGGGAGATGTTGCGCTGTTGTTCAGCCTGCAAAGCATTTTCATCAGCAGCATCAGTGATGGTTTTAACATCCTTTTCTAAAGCAAGTTTCCTTCTTTTTAGGGTCTGCAGTTCACTTTCAAATAATTTTCGTTTACTGCTTTTTTTGTGTTGTTCAGTCTTCTCCTTCTGACTGTCTAAATACAACATATATCTACTGTGGGCACTGCTAGCACTGGTTAACATCTTTGGTGTTATCTCAATGTTGTCTACCCCACCCTGATTTCTTATATGATCAACTATTACTCTTCGTGATATTAGAGTTCTTTCAGCCATGTTATATTCTTCCATTTCTTTATTTACCGAAAAACCCCTTTCAACAGTTGCTTGTCCATTGGACAACATTAATAACATTTGAACAACACTCCAAACATTTTGAAACTCATTTCTGCCTGATAACAGGTCATGGTAAAATGAATCAAGTCTGTCTGTTTCCCTTGAAAAAGCAGACAGTGATCCATTGACTGCCGACTGCTCAATAAATGTAACAAATTCAGAAATAACAGCGTCACATTCAGTTGCATTAAATTTCCTTGATTTCACCAAGGTTTGTAAAATTCTTTTCAGCTTCTTTGCTGCATTGGCTTTGTCTTGAATAATTATGCTTGGATCAAGACAGGCCAAATCTTTCACTAATAAATACTGCAGTGGAGATTTGGCCAAAAATTTCTCCATAAATGCTACCATTATTAATTTACAATCATTCTTGAAATTCAGAATTTGAAGATCAGTTACTTTTCTCTCTCTCTTCAAATCCTTAATTACTGAATCTGCCACAAAACCAATATCTACTGCAT